GTTTGTCTTTTGTACCCATAATTATTTCGTTATTATCATTTTTTAATATTGTTGCTTGTCTCTTTTTGTGTCTACCTGTCATTTCTTTTACTTTTTTATGAATATTAAAGGTGTCGTATTTTTTCTGAAGTTGTTCGATTTCTAGGCATTTTGTTGACATCCAGTTTTTTTCGCCACCTTGCACTTTTTTCTAATGATTTTATTGATTTGCTTGTATTCCATTGGGCTTGTTTTATGTTTTCGTCTTATGTCCATGAAGTCCATGATCTCTTGCGTTATCCAGTCTTGTTTTTTGTTGTGTTTTATGAACCCGATGGCTTCTTGTATCTTTGTTATTTTTGTTTTTAGAGCAGTCTATGCTGCTTTCTATAAATATTAGGAATGTTGTCTTCTACTTGCATCCTCTGCCTGATCTCATTATTTCTTATGTATTCGAGCTTGGATATCCTACAGCATCTTCTCCAGTAATCCATATTCAGTCTTTAACTTTTCAATTTGTCTCTTATTTAGTATACAGGTTTGAGATCCATATGTAGATAAACTTTCTATTATTGCTTTATTAATTAAATGTTTAGGGTCTCTTATAACTATTCTTCTTCTTATAATGCCTTGCGCTTATAATACATAGGCGAATTAGAGAGATATCGCAAGTACATTTTTATCCCACGCTAATAGCGGAATACGCTATTTTGACATGTACGCAAGCGCATAGTGAATGTTACGTTAATAACGGATAAGAGCTTTCGCTATTTGGGTCGAAATAAGGGGCGGTAATTACGTTAAACGATAATTTGACATTTCGAATAAAACATAAAAATATTTCATAGAATACAAATTTAGAAACTAAAAACTGTGACTGTGGATGATCTTGTTTGGCAATCTAACCTTATCTATGTTGTTTGGTTTGTTTTGAGAAACACGTGTGTTCTTAAGTTCTTATTTTATTTAGACAATTTTATACTTTTCGTAGTTAGAATATTAGTTATTTATTAAGTTATTAAGTTGTATATACGTTATATATACAGTATATATAGTTATATATACGTTATTAAAATATTTTATATTATTTCCTAACGTTTCTTTTTTAAATATCTGGTAAGTAAAACACACTATTAGTTTGTGCACTATTTTAAATGGGTTAGGTAATTTGTTACCTATTTAGATGTAATAATAAAATATTTACGGTTTTACCGAAGATGAACAAAAGAATCAGGTTTAACTCCGACGATGATCTGGCTTTATTGAGGCAAGTAATAAGTCAGAATGTTTTGCAACAACCAGAACAATGGGAGGCACTGAGAGAAAATATGATTATACTAACAAAAAAAGAATTCTCAGTCAGAACGCTTAGAGACCATTTAAAACATTTAACGGAAATTTGGAAAAAGAAGGATGCTGTAGACAGAGTCAGACATTTTCAGATCGGGAGTTGAAGAGATTTTCTCAGAAAGAGATAACCTACTTCAAGAGATTTGGGACATTACTAGAAGCACAAAACTTACTCCATCGAAATTAAAAAGGAACAAAACAAAACAGGAGCAACAATCCTCAGAAATCGGTGTTGCTCTAAGGGACCTTGCAGCAAAATATTATGCCAAGGAAGAGTTAGACATGTCTATTGACCATGAAGAAAATGTCATCAGTGATCATGACTACAATTGTGGTAATGCTGATACCTCCTTACTTACTTTTATTTAAAAAATATGGAATTCATAAAATCATGGTAAATGTGATTGGTTACTATTAACCATAACATTTTTTTTCAAAATACTTCTTTGTACATAGAATTTTATTTTGTATGTATTACTGTTATTTTAGTTGCATCAACTTCTCAAGAAACTTCTGAAGTGGTATATGGGCAAACGCCAGATGAGGGAACTGTTAATGAGGGTCCCATCAAGACACTCAATGATGGAACTGCTGAAGAAGCTCCCAGCAGCAGGAAACAAATAGCAGGTTAATTCTAACTTATAATAAATATTATTCTGATAGTTTAACACTTCCTCTTTGAATGCTTTCTAATTGTTCCAATAAAAACTATGACATAACTGTATTATAATTAACACAAAATGTAATATAATTGTTTAGGATATATTTTGTTTTAAAGAAATTTATTTATTTTATTCAGGGCCAATCCGCAAACGGAAAAACCAAAGTGCAGGTCTTCGTAGAAGTGGCTTAACTTTTATTCAAGAAAGAAGTGAGAGGGAGCACAACATTAGAGATGTAAATTATATTTCAGTTGTAGGCTTCTTTGACTGCTATGAGCTCAGCTGTGAAAGTTGTCATTTTGTCGGGTAATCTGTTGTTTATCTTTATACTTTTTGCCGTCCATTTTTGAACCATCTGTATATAATTTTTGATAACTCCCAAAGACTTTGTACATACTGAAGGTGATATATTTTAGTAAGAAAATCTGTGGCAAGAATATTACTTAAATGGCAGTTAAATGGAGATAAATAATCTTCATAGTTTAATTTTCGAGAAGAGGGTTGTTCCATTTGGCATTTGTCGTCAATGTAACTAGAAACATTGAGAAAACTTTCCACAACTAAAAGCTGCTTCTTTTCCCAGTAATGATGAGTTAGGTATGGAGTGGCTAGTTGTACAATTTTATTCAACAAACAGTTATTGTTAACTGCCACTTTAACTATAAATTTTTCACATAAGAATTCTCTGCGTAATGAAAGTGGAGGTTCCTTAAGCTCACATTCCATGACCAATATGGGAGTACTACAAAGATAACCAGTGCTTAATCGAAGTGCTTTATTTTTTGTACTTTCGATTTTTTGGAGTACAGCGTTTGATGCTGACCCATAAAATCTAGATCCGTAATCTAGGATCGATCTTAGTAAATTTCTGTACAGTAATATTGAGATGTTTGGATCAGCTCCCAGTTACTGACACTTACAGTCTTGATAATATTCATTGCGTTTTCCGTCCTTCGTAATATATAATTTTGTGTGTTCTTTCCAATTTAATTTTGAGTCTAAGAACACGCCAAGAAATTTTATTGAAGTTTTATAATGAATTTTATAATTATCAAATTGTATGTGGTTTGGAGGAGAATAATGTTTTCTAGTAAAAGTAACAATGGTTGATTTGCTCTCCGAGATTGTTGAATTCTTATCCGCTGCCCATTTTTTTATGATATTCAATCCTGATTTAAGGTTCTCATTACATTTATACATTACGTTACATACAAGTACTGATCGATTAATGTACAAATTAATAATATTCCATGTTACAGTTTCAGGTATTCCTATTTCCAACATTTTCACAGGTTCAAACTTTAAAATGCGGAGAACTAATAAATTCGTATTTACACTTTGACGTTTATTTTGAATTTAAATAGGTAGATTTTAGTAGAAATAAAACTAATTCAATTTTTGTTACACATACTTGTAAAAATGGTAAATCTATAAATAAATGTTTTATCATGGCAATACTGATATATTGTATATTTAATTTTATGTATTTTTTCTGAAAGTGCTGTTTTTTACATTGTAATGTATTTACATTATTTGGATTATGTAAATTATTTATTTTGTTAATACGTGGTTTTTAATTGTTTTTCTAGCATTTCATTGTTTATTGAAGTTGAAATATTTAAATAGGTAGATTTTGGTAGAAATAAAACTAATTCAATTTTTGTTACATACTTGTAAAAAGCATTTCATTGTTTATTGAAGTTGAAATATTGAAATAGGTAGATTTTAGTAGAAATAAAACTAATTCAATTTTTGTTAAATACTTGTAAAAATGGTAAATCTATAAATAAATGTGTTATCATGGCAATACTGATATATTGTATATTTAATGTTATGTATTTTTTCTGAAAGTGCTGTTTTTTACATTGTAATGTATTTACATTATTTGGATTATGTTAATTATTTATTTTGTTAATATGTGGCTTTTAATTTTTTTCTAGCATTTCATTGTTTATTACGGTTGAAATATTTAAATAAGTAAATTTTACTAGAAATAAAACTAATTCAATTTTTGTTATGTTTATTTTTTCTTAAATTCCTAAATATTCTTCTACAGTGGGTGACACTGTATTAAAAAAATCTCCTGTTTCACTGCCATAAAAAACAAGTATAAATGTTTGTAAATAGAACTGCTACCTTATATATACTTTCTACATCTTGTAGCAAAAGTTTTAAATTTTTTTGTAGTCCACAAATGCAAATAATGCAGCTACTTTTTGAAAACCCCACTCGACAGATGTTCTTAATACTTTCATCGATGCATTAAATTGCTGTTCATGGGGTAGTAGATTTGGTCTAGCTCCATAAAGGCACATAAGAAGCTCCCTAATACCATAGGCCTGATCGCCAAATATAACAAACGGGTGGTTTCCATGAACTGCTGCTGCTTGCAATTGATTGTATATTCCGCTTTCCCGAAATATACCTGCATCATGGCGTCGACCAGGGTATGCTCCTAGCAGACTCACTATTATTCCATCTGGACATATAATGGATTGATATTTAACACAATGCACTCGTTTATGTCCAGAATGATAATTCTGTTGGTCTACTGATGGGCGGCATATGGTCGAATAGTACCATCGATAAATCCCCAACAGTTTGGTAAACCTCCACCATTATTTCTTACTGCCTAAAATACAGTATTTAAATAATAAACAAATACTAATATTTAACACTAATACAGATCACACTTTAAATTGAAGTTAAAATTTACTAATGTTTGTATTTGGAGAATAATTTCCGAAGTGGAAATTAAAACATCAATAAACATCACATTTTGAACAAAACAAGTTAAGACACTATCTTTAAGTTACCAAATTTTTGGAATAAATTTATAATTGTGCAATAACATTAACTGGGAATAATACTCAATTTTTTCAATAATAAGCCAAGCATGGTTTCCTAAATCATTTAAAGGGTGGCCCCATGTGTTTATAATAAAATCTATCATGTAATTTATTATATGAGATAAAGACTGCGGGGATAGACCAAATAAAATTTGTATATCCTTCAGACGATTCGGGTAAATTAACCTTCTTAAAAGGATACATAGAGCAGTTAAACCTAAAAATAATAAACTTTAAATCATGTGATATAACTACATTTGGTATACTTTATTTACCTGTTACTTTATTCCTATTGGCAGTTCGAATTTCATTTGAAATTCTTAACAAATTAACCAATAATCTAATGTCATCGGAGCTAAACCGAAAGAAATCTTTACATTGAGTATTGGTTAAATCATTAAAATTAAAGTGCACGTCTACCTGCTCAATATATTCTCCTAGCAAATTAAGAAGAATTAAGTCTTCAATTTCGTTATCATCAGCACCAGCTATTATTGCTGCATCAATTTCCAAATCCATTATTAAACAAAAACAGTTAAGTACAAGTAGTTATAATCGAGTAGTCGTGGTATGGCCACAGTATAGTGCTTTAAAAAGAATGTATGGCTAACATTAATTTCTAGGTTACATTTAATGCCAAACGTCGGTTGTCATAATAACGTTAAGTTTAAGTCTTACCCCCCAGAACAATGTGCGATAACTCTCTTGATACCTGTGTTTTAATAAACCGTTATCCGTTATTTACGTCTCAATACGGTATTAACGTTTGACGTTGCGATATCTCTCTATTATCTTAAGGCCATACGTCTGTCTTTCGCGGCATGCAAAAGCTTGCAAATGTTATTTATGTCTATCCAGTTCTTAATAATCCATAGCCACGACATTTGTTTACGAGCTACTTCTTTTTTACTCTAAATCTTTCCTTGGATAATTAGGGATTGCGCATTTTCTCCTTTTAAGATATGTCTCAGAAATCCAATTTTTCGTACCTTGATCAAGTTGAGTAATTCTCTATCAGTATTTACCTTTTTAAAGCTTTCTCGTTTCTTACCCTATCTGTCCATGGTATGCGGAACATTATTCGCAATGTCCTCATTTCTAAGACCTCTAACTTGCTAATAGAGGATATTTTTAACGTTCATGTCTCCATGCCATGAAATAATATGGACCATACATAGAGCATTTAATCGTCCTGTAGCGGAGATTGCAGGAAAGATTACAGTTCCATAGTAGCGGTATCAATTTAATAAAAAGCTTGTCTTGCTTATTCCGTAAGGGATTTTATGGTCATTCACTATCATTCTCAAGTATTTGTTACTTTGCACTTGCTCGATTGGAGCATGATCTACTTTAAGTTGTTCTTTTAAAAGTGCGTTTTCTCTGTAATAAACGTTGTAATCTTTAAAAGCTATATGTTTTTTCCTACGGTTTTTCTTTTATTTAGTACCATATCCTGTTCGTTGTCAGCGATAATTGTGGTGTCATCGGCGCAACAAATTTTATTTATCGGCAAAGTGCCTTTGCAAAGACTTTCTCCACATACAGGTTGAACAACACAGGAAACAATATACACCCTTACCGCACCCAATTAAAATTTCAAATTCGTCTGTGTTAAGTGATTTGGTCAGCCTCACTTATGGGTTTTGATTCCAATAGAAATTTAGGATAACTTATATCTTTCTCGTCAATGATAGCGTTGTGTAGCATTTTTATTATTGCATCGTATTTTACGGTCTCTTTTCTATAATCGGGAAATATGATGAATATATCCATTGATTGGTTCATGCAGTTTTGTACACATTATGTCTCACCGCTTAGCTCTACCAGCTTTCTGCACATTCATGTGTGGAGGATACAAAGAAATACTTTAAGCAAATGACTCATTAATCTGGTCAGTTGGTGGTCTTTGCATTCTGCGCTATCTCTTTTGATATAGGGATCATTATACCCCACCTCGGCACGAATAATGAAAATAATGGGAGGGCAGGATAAATTTTCCATGGATAGGTTAGTAATTTACAGGTTTGTGTATTATTCGTAAAGAGGGACGAATCATAGCTTTTAAAGACTTTAGCTAGTTCTTTCTGGGTATATAAGTAGTCTCCTTGATCATTCTTGAGACAAATCTCATGGTATTTCTTGTATATTCTTGAGATATCTTTAATTTTTTTATGTACTTCAAAGCTGTGCCCTTTTTCTTGTAGTGATTCCAATTCTTCACAACGTTTATTCATCTAGGTTGTCTCTGCGTTGTTATTAAGTAATAACTTAAAAAATAACTTAAGTTATTTTATCATTAACGTCTACATCAGAGAATGTAACACCTTTTTCTTCTTGATGTGTCTATCCGTGACTAATGTTAGTGATCATCATGACAATCATTATCCTGTCTGCAGCAGCGCGGAACAACTGCACATATGTTGTGTTGAAACAGGTTCTGAGGTTATTTATCCAGGAGTTCTTCTTTAGGATCACCGCTCACCATATGCTCTATTTCCCTTAGATTAATTTCCAGCAATATTCAGGCAACTGCAAATAGAAGAGTATAGTGTCATATCTTCTACTGGAATTCACACATCGCGGAATTTTCATTTCCAGTATATTAAGGCAGCATTTATATATACTTAAAAAGAGTCGAATGTGCCAAGCTTTAGTGATGTCCGTTTGATGAAAAGAAGAAGGTTTTCAACGAATTATTGCGCAAATGCCACGATATTGTCATATGTACTTATCGAATGTAGTCGGCCGCTACGCTTGGTTAACTAATTGCAATTGTAAAAACGTACATTAGGCCAACTTTCTGCAAAATCTTCTTCAATAACTTCGTAATTGCCATCCTGACATTAAAACTGTTTTTAATCAAAAACTTACGTTGTTCTAAATTTAATATGAATATTTCCTGCCATTTCACTTCAAACACAACGACCAAAAGTATGAAAAAACGGGCATTTAGTGCTATTAAGTTTTTATAAACCACTTGAGATAAAGGTAAAATGCCACGTTATAGTGAATTTTCTAATGTAGAAATGCGCGATATAATCTGTTTGTATACCCGGAAAATTTTTGTTCTCGTAAAAACAGCTCAACGTTTTTTCGAACTTTATCCCAATAGAAGCATCTAAACCATAAAACTATTAGATCACTAATTGACAGATTAGACGAAACAGGGTCATTTCATCCCAAAAACAGGAATGCTAGAAGACCAAGAGTAACTGATATGGAGGATAAAATTATTGTGCGTGTTGCAAAAGATCCAGAAACCAGTAAGAGGCTTGTTTCTGCGGCTACTGGTATAAGAAAAATCTACGGTGTCAAAAATAATACGGACAGAAAATCTGTATCCGTATCGTTTTACTCCAGTACAGAATCTTTTACCACATGATTTTTCAGCAAGGCTCTGATTTAGTCACTTTATAATAGGGCGGCATTTAGACGATCGAATGTTTTATAATAGAATTTTATTTACCGATGAAGCCACATTTACTAGAAGAGATGTGTTTAACTGGCGCAATCGCCACAGGTATGCGACAGAAAATCCTCATGCATTTCAAGAACATCATTTTCAACATGAGTTTTCCATAAATATCTGGTGTGGCATATTTAGGAGACATACCTCTAAATTTGGAACGTAACTCTTGGTACAGTTTCGTTTAAACCTTCGTATAGTGCAGACCGTGTGTGAGTGTGTCTCGTATTCAATCGAATTTATTTAGGTTTTAATTAGGTTTACATTAATTTTAAGTTATTAGTTTAGCATTTGTACTGTGATTATTAGTATTTCCTATATTTTTTTGATGAATATTTAAACCCTGGGATGTCCCAGGGTAAAAATGGTGTATCTGGCAAAGATCCACCTCTACAGGATCAAGTTGATAACTGCAGATGTTAAGTAATATTCACGTCGAAGATATTGTTTTTTCTGACGTTAATAATGGTAATAATACTCCAAATGTCTTGAATTTCGATGATTCTATTATTAATAATTCCAATATTAAATATATTGTTAATGATGGCAATAAAAACTTGCCTTCTACAACTCAACAATATAAACAATCAAGTCAGGTTTTAAATACTATAAATCGATTTAGCGATATTGATACGGGGCCGTATTTTATTTTTGTTCAACTTACTGATTTAAATTTTAGGTTGTCTTCATCCTATGAAAATAGAAGAAAAATTAAGTTCTCCCGCGGATTACGATAAAAATATAACTGAAATTGTTAGTGTTGTCAGGAATAGAATTAAAATCGAAGTAGATTCGGGACTGGTTGCAAATAGGCTGGTAGAAGAACCTTTTTTTGAAAAAAATAATTTAATTGCATTTATACCTAATTATTTGACAAAAAAAAAGAGGTTTAGTTCGCGCTGTTGACACTATATATAAGTGAAAATAAACTCCTAAATATTATGAAATCGAATGTAATGGTAAAAAAAGTCCGAAGAATGACTAGATTAATACAAAAAGACGGTATATCGGAGAGAGTCTCAAGGCAGATGATTATTGTTACTTTTGCGGGCAAATTAATTCCTCAATTCATCTACATTAATAAAGTTAGATGTCCGGTCAAGGTATTTGTCAGTCCGGTCATGCAATTTTACCAGTGTTTGCGTTATGGTCATTTGGCTACTCAATGTAAATAAAAAAAAGGTGCAAAAAATGTGGGAATGAAGAAATAACGATTGTCCTAAAAAATGTTATACTTTTTGTGTGCATTGTCAAAATAGTGGTCAGAAATCAATTTTTAGGAAATATCCTAAATATCAAGCAGAGGAAAACGAAATAAACTATGGCTCACTTGAACATTTCGTTTAAAGAAGCTCAGAAAATATCTGATATTCCAGGTTATTCCAGCCTAGTTCAGAAGAATAGATTTGCACCGTTAATCAACTCTGACATGAATGTCCCCCAGTAAAATTTGATTCTACTCGTCAGTTCAATTCTGGTACAGTTCATAATAATAACAATATTCCCAAACGTCATACAATCCCGGTAGTTAGCCCTCCAAAAAAAAAAAACCACACTATTAATTTCTTTTTGAAGAGGTCTACCTCCGACGCTGGTACTCACGTAAGGCATGGGTGTATGTTACCTGAAGTAAAATATAATAAACTATTATATATCAATAATTTTTAACAACAATATGTACAACAATATATATGACGTTAGTTACTTTTCAGCAAATTCTTTTGGCTTGTTAATTAAATATCGAATGCACTATAATAAAAAACGTTTAAACACATATCCTTAACTCAGCGTTTATTACTCACAGGTGAAGGTATTTATTTTTACGTACCTTGTACTTTATGACGTATTAAATATTCCGTAAAGAAGGTTTTATTTTCTGGTTAAATAAAACAAACTTAATTTACTACAATAAGCTTATAACTTTATAGCGTAATAAAAAATTTTGACTGATCATTCTGACCCGTTATGAAGCTGGTTCTTTATATGGCCTATTAGATCTGTCATAGTTATATTCTATAGCAAAAAGATTTTACTCTAAAATACTAAAAAAACTTATAGATGGCAATAGAGTATTGAAGAAAATATCAAACTTTTTTTTTGTAATAAAAATGGGTGTATACTAGTTCGCTCCTGCGGTCAGATTTTAATACCCCACATAAAAGGGGCATAGGTAAATTCGCTCCGGCCATATATTTCTTAAAAAAGATATTTGAATAATGTCTTTTCAAACTTTGTATTTACCTATTAATACAACAGTACCATCATTGTTTAAAAAAGAATGAGTCTTTTAAACAATGCTACTATATAACACTACTTCTTACAAAAAAAATATATTAAAATTATAACGATAATATCACTAAAGTATTATAATTTTAGAGGTCATATTCCCTTGTTCAATATTTGACTTAGTTTTTCCGTATCAGAAGTTGCAATTGATATATTTCTTTGAAAATATGGTAGGTAATTAGTACATTATTACTTTAGTTCCAGTTTGAATGTCGTAATACCTAGTTCATGATGAAGAAATCTAAAGTAAGTGAAATGTTAAGTGAAAAGGGCAAGTCAATGTCAGTTATTGACAATTACAAGTATAACTTCCATAAAGTGCTTGCTAATAATATCAAACGTTGGCAGTGTGTAGAAAGAAGTTGCAAAGCATTTGTTAAAACTTTAAATATTTGTAATAGTGTAGTCAAATGTAGTCATAACCACACCATGAAAGTTTATAAAAAAGTGTTAAACCGGCAAAAATTAGGTAATAGTGTTAAGAGAGAGGCAATGGATGATTTGTGTGAAAAACCATTGAAGGTGATACACAGCGAAATTAATCAAACAGGCACTAAAAGTCTTACTGTGGAAGATATACATTGGATTAGAAAAAATATTTATAGAAAATTGGCAGAACACAAGTTATTCCCAAAATTTCGAAATGCGTGCAGGAAGTACATTACTCGTTAAACTCCGTGGAAGTGACAACCAACCACAACGAACAATTTTTATTGAAAAATGATTCGGTAAAAAAATTTGTTGCTTTTTCTTATGTATCTAACTTAACATTTTTAAGTAAATTAGAAACAATTTATGTTGATATAACTTTTAAATGCTGCACTAATTTTTTTTCATTCAATTATTCAACTATTTACAGTTCACGGACTCGAAAATGGACACTATGTGTCGTTGGCATTCTTTTTGCTTTCAATAAGTTAACAAACTCATATGTGACTGCCTTAAAATTGTTTAAAGACGGAGTGTCAAAAATTGAACTTAAATTTTACTCCAAGGTTGTGTATGCCGATTTCGAAAAAGCGATCTATGCAGATGTAAGTGAAGTGTTTTCCATCTGCCAAAATAAAAGGGTGTAGTTTTTTTTCATTTTGGACAACCATGGGTGGAGAAAAATTCAAGAAGCTGGTCTGGCTACTGAGTATTCAAACGACAATGAAGTCGGACATTACCTTAGATATATGTTTGGTCTACCTTTCCTAGATCCATTAGAAGTAGGTGAGTGTTTTGCTTTAGACTTTAGTGAAATACATATTACCAATACAACACTAAGCCGTACAACAATTTGCTGACTGGTGGACAACTATATTTGAGTCGCTCAGAAGCAGAATGGCCCAACTGATTTTTTTGTATAATTCAGGTAGCTAGTACAATAGGTGGCATTTTATCATATCTTTCATTTCAGAGTGGCTCAACTAACATTTCGTTGTATACCAAGAGATGGCGCGACTTGTACAGTTAGGCTACGTAAACATTTCATATGATCTAGTTATGGAAACGTGGCCCAAGTGACAGTTGGGCCAGTGTGCAGTATGATATTTTAGACATTGTCACTCTTGCCTTGTGTGTTTGTATCAGTCTATCAGCCTTTTAAACGGTTTATGTTTGTGCAATCTTGAGCAACGGTGAGTAAATTATTGTATTTGTGTGTAAATTAATAGTGATTGTAAATATCTCGGCTCAAAATTTAAATTAGGATTCTAAATTTTTTAAGATTATAGTCTTAAAATTATAACCTTAAAATGAAGAAAGCAGGCTAGTTTTCTACTTAGACATATTTTTATAATATCTATGGTATGTTTATGGTTTTCTAAGGGATATTGCCAAAAGTATAGGTTAGTCTTTAACTTAAAGACAGTTGTAAAGGATTTTATTCAAAAGTTTTTTTTAAGACATTTGATCACTTGAATTAATAATTAATAGAGAATATTTTTGTTATAGGTTGGAAATGCCGTTGTCGGATACATCCAGTACTCGTGAACCCAGTGAATTTGAAACAGATTCTGGTTCTTACTCCCATCCACCTTCTGATGCTGAGTCTTCTACAACTAGGGAAAGCTTCACAGAAGATGGACTTGTGGCACCTGGATCAAGTAGGGGTAAAAAACGTAAGAAAAATAATTCAGTTTGGAAAAGATCTAAGTCTAAGTTGGAAAGAAATTCAGGAAAATCATATTTGAATTCTCGTGGTAGAATTGTGTCTAAGAAACAATGTTTTCATGGAGTTTGCAGCTCTCCACGAAAGTGTCATTTGTTGTTATCTCTTGAAGAAAGAAAAAATATTTTCCAAAGTTTCTACAACTTATCTGATTGTAATTTACAGACTGCTTACATTAATATACAAGTAAAATGTTGTCAATAAAGGTAGACATACAGCAGCTCAAAATCATAATAAACGTTCTAAGACACGAATTTATACATTACCGAAAGAATCAGGTGATATGGTAACTGTTTGTAAATCACTTTTCAAAAAAAGCTCCACAAGTTCCAGATGGAAGGCTCACCAGAGCTTTAATAAACAAATCAATAGGTGGCGAATTAATCACTCCGCCACTAGATAAAAGAGGCAAGCACCCCCTAAGAATAAGGCAAGGTAAACCGATATTCAAAATATAAAAGATTTCAATAACAAATTTGCCAAATATACATCACACTATAGCCGCAACAAAAATCCTAATCGAGAGTACCTGTCACCTGATTTAAATATCCCAAAACTTTACGATTTGTATGTGCAAGGTAAAGAACCAGAAGTAAAGGTATCCAAATTCATCTTTTCGAAAATATTTAATGAAGATTTTAATCTTCATTTCCGTTATCCTCTCACTGAAACTTGCAAACGATGTGACGTTTATAACATGAAAATAAAAAGCTGTGTAGGTGTAGAAAAAAGCAGAATGGAAACAGAGAAAGAGTTACACCTGCGGAAGGCAGAAGCAGCTCGAAGTGGAATAAAGGAAGATGTAGCCAAGAATAAAGATACCACAACAGTAATTACATTTGATTTGATGAAAACTTTAGCTACTCCTAGTATTTCTACGGGAGTGGCTTATTACAAAAGACAGTTGTGGACTATTGTTTTGGCATCCACAATCTAACGACAGGACAGATACACATGTATGTATGGCATGAAGGCATAGCCTCACGTGGCCCACAAGAAATTGGTTCTTGCATTTTACACTACGTAAAAACATATGTTACCACACCAGTTTTGATCTTGTACAGCGACCAATGCGGAGGTCAGAATCGAAATATTAAACTGGCATCTATTTTTACATACGTAAGTGTCTCCAATACTTTCAGTCCCACAGTCATACATCACAAGTTTCTAGTTTCCGGTCACTCCTATTTGCCATGTGACAGAGACTTTGAAGTGATCGAAAAACAAAAACGATATTTTAAAAACATTTTTTTGCCAGACGATTGGGTGAAAGTTATTTCCAGTTCCAAAAAGAAGAACAAATTTTAGGTATTTAAAATGACCTCTGAAAATTTTAAGTGTACTGCAAAACTAGAGAAGTTACTTACAAACCGAAAAAGCAATAGCAAGGAGAGCAAGATATAAAAACAGAATGGCTTAAAATACAGTGGCTAATGTTCAAATCAGAAGAGCCATTCAAAATTGATTTAAAGTATTCTAATAACGAGAGTGTATTATTTAATTGTGTTTTTCGTCTTTCAGATAAAAAGAGACGACTTCTACTTGGACATCCTCTATCCTGCTGGAAGACCCATAGAGCAACTAAAGTATAAAGACCTTCAGAGTCTTCTTCCTTACATTCCGCCGGTCTGTCATGAATTTTACATAAACCTGAAGACAAAACGTGGAGGCAGTAGATAATGATATTGGATCGGAAACAGATGAATAGATGACCCAAGTGAAAGTTTTATGTTTTTTCGTAAAAGCTTAATATTTGACATAGTGGCCCAACTGACTTTTTTTTTTTTTGTAGAAAAAAAGATTTTTTTTGTTAATTTTTTGCGCATTCGAGTCATATAATGTATTAGGTTCCAGAAATGTTTAAGTGAATAAAATAATACTGGTTAATAAAAAAAACTGGTTTCATTTTTAGCTCAATTCTTTATTTGCCGATATCTCAAAACATCAATTTTACACTTAGACCACTCTGCTTCTGAGCGACTCATTTCTGAAGAGGCAGACTTCCCTCCTGAGATGTGGGCGAAAACAGTTCATCACTTGAGCGTACAACGTGTACAACCAATGCATGTCAAAGTTTCCACTCTAAATTTAATTCGTTATTTTACAATCCGCACCCTAATATATTTCAATTTTCAGAAGTTTTAATTCAAATTGACAGTTATATAAAAATACGAAATTCTGTGAAACCAAAAAAAGTGTACCGAAAAGTACTTCTAGAGCGTCAAAAATTTGTTGATCACAAAACAGTGGAATTAAACCAAAATAAAATTAGTAGATTTGATTTTGTCAAATGTATTTCATTTAGATTTCTAGCGAAATAAATGCCTCGTTTTAATTTATATTTGTTTAATTTTGTAATGGTAGAGAATAACCCATATTATGTTAGTTTTTACACTTGTATTACTTTCTTATTATACCTATATTTTAGAATATGCACCAATATTATTTCAGTAATTTTTAAATACAATTCAAAATTTGTAATATAATTTCTAAATCAATCACTAACATTATTCAAAATACATAACAGTAATGACAGCGCTAATATCCGGCAAAATAACGCAAAAGATGGAAAACATATAAAGTTGTGAGATAAATAGAAATGAAACTAGTGGAGATGGGAAATCTAGCGATAGAACATATAAATTGACATTTCATTTATTGGTTCCCACCTTTAGACGTAAGAGTTTGGGAACTACCGCTGTGACAGTGACAGTTTTAGTTGACATGACATCCTCCTCTGATACGTCTAAAGGTGGGAAACAGTGAATAGAATGTAAATTTATAGGTTTTTATCGCTAAATTTCTTATCTCTACTAGTTTCATCTCTTTTATCTTACAACTTCATTTCTGGGTAATCCTTATCATCTCGAACTGAGACAAGAACTTTATCTAATGTTGGAAATTCTTGTCTAAAGAAGAATTCATGCACTTTCCGTCGAAGTCCTTCTTTAAAATGATATTCTATTTGAAATTTTGGTTTTCCTGGAGTATTACGTGGCATTTGAAAACTACCACATTGCTCTTCTTTAATAACTCTGTAAATCGTAGATTTCCCAACACCAAGTGTACTGCTAACTAACTCAACGGTCCTCATTAACACTTTCACATAAACGTTTGTCTGTAAATGATTTAAAACAATAAATATTAATGTTTTTTCATTAACTGTTAAAGGACCAACTTTTCGGCGTTTACACGGCACTTCCAAATTTCCACAACACTAGTATACACAATAAACTGCACCTTGCAACTGAAGTACCTACTTTTAGTGAACTGTTAAGAATTTTGAATACGCCACTTGGACCTTCCTACAAAATGGAAAAACCCACTATCACATTTTCTGTGAATAAGTTGAGAAGGTAATTATCTAGTCAATTACTGTCGTAGATTCCTGGAATTAAAGAATTAAATGTTTGATTGTTGAAACCCTTACTTCGTGGAATGCACTCATTTCAGATAAAATAAAACGTTTTATTTTATCTAAAGAATTAAACTTTATTTGCAAATAGGTAGGTACTTATTAAACTTTTATTGGTTATATATAACCAATAAAATAAACATCTTACATTTCTTGCAAATTCATTAGTACCTGGTAACGTCCATCACTCCGACACTGGCAACCTTATTTAGGGATTAGTAACCCTCACAACTATTGTATTTTGTTCTGCTCCAACCTTTATACCTGGTGGTCATACTCAATTTAAAATTGTTTTCCTATATACTTCTGTAAACTTGTTGACAAATATCTGTTTTTCATTGAGTCACCCGTATCAACAGTTTAGGGATTTGCATACATAATTTATTGTTTTATTACTCTCTCATACATAAAAATACACTATAGTTTACTACAGTGTAGTTGTGTATTTATGTTTTAGAATCGTGCTGCCAGCAGAGATCTTACCACCTGTTTCTAATTTTCAAGAAGTAGATCCACCTGCTAGGGATGAATTAAACTTACCCAGTACCAGTAAACTAACTGATGTCTGCGTTAAAAATAAATACTATGTTAGTATGCATGAAAAATCTACTACTACAGGACAAAGTAGCCCACTGGTACCAGTCATAGTGCGAAAATTGGAATTTGAACAATCTAATTTTACATGCCCTCTCGACGTATCTCTACCTTGCCGTGGTGAGAGGGCTTGAGTGTTTTAATGACTCCTGGAGCTATGCCGGCGGTAGCGTAGCTACTGGTAGGGCCTCCCTTGATGAAAAACGAGACTAAGAGAGATACACCGGTCCTCCTAAGAGGGGGGTTGTGCAGTAGGCCAGCAACCTACTCATGTAAAAATTGAAAGATACGCTGAAAACCCTAGAAATAGGCCTCGGATGTTAGATCAGATTTTTGGACAACGAAAATTGCAAAGAAAAAGGTACATGAATATTAGAACATGGAATGTTCAATTCAAGGTTTCAGAAATAAGCAACAGGAAGTGTTACTTGAAATCGAACAAAGAAAGCTGGACGTAACAATACTCTCGGAAACCAAAAAGAAGGGCAACGGATGTGAAAAGTTGAAAAGGTATATCTACTGCTACAGCGGGGTAGATAAGTCATCCCACGCAAAAGCAGGAGTATCGATAATTATTCACGAAAAACTGAAACAACAAATAAAATCATGGGAGAGTATTAATGAACGTATAATGAAAATGACCCTTCAAATTAAAGAACGAACTATAGTGGTTATAGGAATTTATGCTCCAAATGAAGACGAAACAGTAGCGGTAAAAGACATTTTGACGCAATTTTAAGAGATGTGTTAGATCAAATCCCTAACCGATGCGAAATCATTATGGCAGGTGACTTTAACAGTAGAGTAGGCCAAGAAGAAAACAGTGCAGTGGTAGGACGACATGGAGAACCTACAAGAAATAATAATGGCGAAAGACTGATAGATCTGTGCGAACAATACAATTTAAGAATCACAAACACCTTCTATGCACACAAAGATATACACAAATATACCTGGAAACACCGCTCTAGAGACCAGAAATCCATCATCAACTATATTATAATGAGACAAAAACCAACACTAACAGTTTTAGACGTTAGGGTAAAGAGAGGAGCTGACTGTGGAATGATCATTACCTAGTAATCGGAAATATAACCATACCGAGATTGGGAAAATACGAAACAGCAAATGTAAATAAGAACGTAACAACAAATAAAGAGCACTATAATCTACAAAGTCTAGAAGATAACAGAGT